TTTCAGAAGCAACATTTTATATAATGTGAACATAAAATATTTCACTTCATCTTGAAGTGAGATTCTATTTTTATGACATAAGAAAGTAATTATAGCAAATATATAATTTCATGCTTTCATTTACGTTTAAACCTGCCAACTTTTTAAAATCTTAATATTAGCCATAAAATAAACTTACTTCCAACATCCAGCCTGGTTCCTCCACCAAAAGTCCACCACAGTGATACAAACTCACTGAGGCGCCGTACAAAAACCTCTGACTGTAGAGAGACGCAGCTCTCTGACTTTGTCTGACTAACCTAAACCTACAAACCAAGATTAAACTAAGATATTTTTTACTACTTAGATCAATATTAACTTGTAATACTTTGTCGTAATTTGGGATATAAACTATCACATATGTTCTGTATCTTGAAACATTCTTTGTAAAACATAAAATAATGCATCTTTTCAAGCCTCAATCTGTCAAACAGAATTAAAACAATACAATCAAGTAAAACTAAAAACAACGGTTTTATATTTGACTTACTTCCAAACTCCAGTCTGGTTCCTCCACCGAACGTGTACCACAGTGATACAAACTCATTGAGCCGTCGTACAAAAACCTCTGACTGTAGAGAGACACGGCTCTCTGAACACAAAACATGGAGAACTAGAATTTTTAAAATATTTAAAAGCTAAAAACTTGAAAAATTAAATCTCATAATACTTTCTTGTCTAACACAGTTTGATGTAAGAACATTTATTGTCAACTTGAGAATTATTAATACATTTATTTACATCTTACTCTCAATAAAATATGAACTGTAGATATTTTTAGTTTCTCTAAAATGGAATAAAAAATACAATTAAAATAGCCCCACAATTATTCCCACCCAAAATGACGATCATGTACTGTTATATAGACATTGTTCCTCTTTGTTCCTGAGAATGTGAAGTAAAATGCTGTCATCCAGTCATAAAGAAGATCAATGGGCGGACCAGACACAACTTATGAGTCTGGAAATGGATGTAAAAAAGTCTAAAAATCATGTTGAATGACAGTTCTGTTAGGAAAGGAGTTTACAGGTTGAGGAGATTGGAAAAACATGGTTAACATGAATATAGAGCATTATGATCAAGAGAATTCACCTCCAAAGCAGATCATAAGTTGCTGAAACAAGTCTCTAAAATATAATCAATAGATCCACAGAATGATCTTGCTACTGTTGATATGAAAGGAAATGCCACAACAATCAAAATAATGTGTTTTAATCTTTGTGAGGATGGTTCCAAGAGGTAATCTATGCTCTCAAAATAATAAGTAAATATAACCTCTGGAGTAATGACTCTTTGGACACGAATCAAAAACCGAATTATCTGAACGTAAGGAGATGTGACACTTCAGTCACATACAGCACTACAAGATAAGAACCTCATTCTACCCTTGAAGCATGGAGGGATAACTGTTATGGATTGATTTTGCTACGATGCAGCAGAAATCAGCCCCATTGAACTCTACATTGTTAAAAATGAGGGATCAGAAGTTAAATGTTGTACCCAAGAGGGATGAGAGAAAACAGGGAAGTATTCACTGATTTATTTAAAACCAGCCATGGGGAATGTGAAATGTTTTTATAGCTCAGATACAACAGAAGTATTTAATGAATGTAATCTAATTTTGTGTTCTTTATTTAACTTTGAAATTATGGAGTTTACCTTTATAAGTTTATAACTGTGTGTTTCTTCACTTGACCTACAAGTTTTAATTAAAGCTGCTTATATGGCCTAAACTGGCCTATTTTCTCTTTTTAATTTAGTATGTTAATGTATTTTTGTAGATTATTTCAAAAGTCAAAACCATCTGCAGTTCAGAGAACACGACGATAGAAACTGAGGCCGTTATAAGAGAACATGTAGAGCTGATCTCCATGTGACTGACTGAGTGTGTTTGCATATGTGTCCTGCCTCTCTGCTGCAGCTGTTAAGAGGTCAGAGTTGATCAGTGGCTGTCCAGGCCTTTCAGAGCCACTGACACACCAGCAGCACAACGATGATGTCACTGACTCTACTGCTGACCATCCTGGGGCTCCTGGTTCAGGGTGAGACTCTCTGATCTAAACTTTGTGTTAACATGTAACCAAGATCTTCAGGATTCATGACCTGACAGCTTCAAATTTGGATGGTGATAAAATTTATTCAAGTTTGATTTTTCTTCAGGAAGGTTTCTGTCTTTCTGTGTTTTCAGGATCTTCAGGACAAGTCACCGTAACTCAGACTCCTGGATCTCAGTCTGTTGTTCCAGGACAGACTGTCTCTATTCAATGTAAAGTCAGTCCAAGTACAGGTTACTGTTTCAACTGGTACCTTCAGAAACCAGGAGAAGAGCCTAAACTCCTTATTAGATGCGCAAGCACCCGTCATACTGGAATCCCTGATCGTTTCAGTGGATCAAACTCTGGGAATACTGACTTCACTCTGACCATCAGTGGAGTTCAGGCTGAAGATGCTGGAGTTTATTACTGTCAGAGTTATCATTACATCAGCAGTCAGTGGGTGTTCACACAGTGAAAAATCATCATACAAAAACCTCCCTCAGTCTGAACAGAAACTGAACTTTGTTATGCAGCTGGAATCTGCAGCAAACACTGATAACGTTCACTGAACACACATTTTACACTCTCACCATTTAGTTGCATCAAACCTTATTAAAACTCAAATCTGAAAACAACATTAGATATATTCTAAATGGTCAAGGAAGTTGATGAAGGTCAAACATTTTTCAAGGTTGAAATACATTTTCCAGTCCATCCATAAAGGAACAATCCATCAAATAAAATAAAACAATCAGCATAAACAGTAAAATGTATTCAAACCCTCAGTTCAACCTATTTAAATCTAATAAAGATTTGAATTAAAAAAAAAATTAAGTAAATAATCTGTCACAAATCAATAGATATTTCTGTCTTCCACCTCTAGTCTGGGAGTTTCTTCAATGTTGTTGAATGAAAGAACATTTAATATCCTTATGAGGACATCAGCAGGATCGTAACTCTAACGCAGCAGAAAATATTGAAGAAACTCTGAAAAATTACAACAAAAATTTAATGTTCTTGTTTTAAAAAATCTGACTTGACGTTATACAAACTGACTGCTAATAACATTAAAACATATTTTAGTGTTTTTCAAATACCTAACAAGATTTATTTATTTTACCACAGATCCTGAAGGACCATTAGATCAGAAATAAATAAATTCCAGGAGATTTTTTTATGTATTAACCAGGGTAAAAATAAATGACTAAGTTTGACAGTGCTAAAGGAAAATAATTCATATCCTAATAATTATTAATGCTTGCTCCTTGATTTACCAATAGAATATTATTATACTACTGCCAGATGACTAGAACCTAATAAAAATGATTTTAAAAGAACTTAAACCAAGAATACATGTAATCTATTCTCCCCTCGAAATGTATTTTATTTTATACAATATATTTTTTATACAGATTGTCCCTTTTGAGATCTAAGATCTCATATAAAATATAGACCAGGCTTGAAATGACTAAACAGAAAAAAATACAAACACATCAACAATATGAGTAGTTAAAACATTTGACTCAATTTAATCAGCTGATATAAAGCAGGTCTGAATTTGAAAAATGTATTTGAGACCAGAATTAACCCAAATCTATAATAGCAGAGAAATATTTATGAAGCAGAAAGTTTATAATAAAATAGGTATGAAGAAAACAACCAAAAGGATCCCATTCAAATGTTAAATAAAGTGATTTGCATCAGCAGCTCCATGCTCCAGCGCTCTGGGAGAGTTTATAGTCCTGACAGTTGAACACTGGATGACTGACAGCTGTCCTTCATCACAGCAGAAGACACAGAAATCCTCCTCATCATCAGAAACATGACTCTGATCTGCGTCCTCATCTGGACTCTCCTCTGCTGCTGCTTCACAGGTAAAGTCCAGAGAATCCAACTCCTCTCCTCTATGAACATCTGTCCCTCTGAAATGAAGCCGACTAAACCATGAAGCTGCTGCATGTTTTTGCGTCTGTGTCCACAGAGGTCAGAGGTCAGATCACAGTGACTCAGCAGCCTGCAGCAGTGAGAGCTGATATTGGAGGATCTGCCAACATCAGATGTAGAACCAGTCAGAATGTTTTTAACAACAACTATTTAGCCTGGTACCAACAGAAAGACGGACAATCTCCTAAGCTCCTCATTTATGCTACCAGCACTAAAGCATCAGGGACTCCAAGTCGTTTTTCAGGCAGTGGATCAAACTCTGACTTCACTCTGACCATCAGTGGAGTTCAGGCTGAAGATGCTGCAGTTTATTACTGTAAGGGAGAATTTGATGCTAACAAGTATGAGCTGTTCACACAGTGAAAAACAGTCATACAAAAACCTCCCTCAGTCATAATGAACAGAAACTATATTGCTGCAGCTTCCAGCTGTTGCAGAAACTGATAGTTTACTGAAATCTTCCACATGAATACACACAAATGTTCATGAATGTGTTATTTTAAAACACCTTCATACGGGAGAATTTGATGCTAACAAGTATGAGCTGTTCACACAGTGAAAAACAGTCGTACAAAAACCTCCCTCAGTCAGACTGTATAAAATCTCTAGCTGGATGTTACACTGAAACATCTCACTAAGCACAGACACCACGACATTCACGTAAATATTGAAATAAGTGGCACGTTTCCGATATGGCTTTGAAATTAATAAAGAGGTTGGAATATTACACCTGGAGAAACTTTGTTGGGAAGATAACATTTGACTTTAGACTGAAATTAAATGTCATCATGGAGATTTTCTGAACATAATCTAAGGTTGTGTGCTGAGTTTATCTAAATATAGATACATTGTTTTAGCCTCATTTTCTATGCAAGAAGCAACATGGTTTTAGCAAAAATTAAAATTAAAATCTATTTATGAGTCAGATGTTTGACAATAAACATCTTGGTTAGAACAGAAATGGGTGAAACTCTCCAGCTGTTCATTATTTGTCCAAAAGAAAAGTTTCAGGGACTCTAAATGGTTTCATGGACAGTAGATCAAACTCTGACTTCACTCAGACCATCAATAAAGTTCAGGCTGAAGATTCTGTCAGAGCTCACACTTTGAACAGCCAAGTTTTGGTCACACACTGAAAATTAATCAATTACTGAATGACTGTCAACTGAACAAATATTTGGGCACATGACACTTTTAATTGCTTATTTAAAAAGAGAAATTTTAATATCTATTTTTATCAGTTTTGTTAAAGAATAAATCATAAACTTAATTCATATTATACATAACTTAATAGGATGTAAAGTTTTTTCTCTTTTAAGCCTATTAAATCATTTTTGGTATAGTACAACAAGATAACATTAATTTAATAAATTTTAGCTATATGAATAAACTGAAATGAAATGATAAATGTATTGTAAAAATACTGAGGAGCTGCAGTTTCTGCAGCAAACAACCTCTACTAACATGCAGCACACAGTGAACAAAACATTGTTTTTCCTCTGACAAGGTAAGAACAGAAAAATAAAGAAGTCAAAACAGGAGTAAGGATTTTGATTTTATTATTTTTGACAGAAATTGAGCTTTTAAACACATAACAGAGGTTATGAAGATGAAATAAAACAAAGATTTTTAAAGCAAATAATCTATAGCAGAATGAAACATTAGAATCAGCTCAGGACTGGGAGCACTGGTCTCTCCTCAGTGTCTCTGTGACTGCAGACTGGGAGCCCTGGGAGGCCTCACAGGTCACAGAGCCCACCTTCCTCCACTGGTCTGCAGGGAGCCTCAGGGTGCTGCTCCAGCTGTAGAGGCCGTCATTCTGCAGCACCCCGGGGCTCCTGCTCNAATTAAACAGCAAAGAACGTCTGTAAAATATGTCTGGTCTGACAGAATCTCAGTATTTTGTAATTCAATAGTTTTATAAATATATTTCTAACAGACTGAATTCATATGTTTGATTCAAAACATTTCACCAAATGATTTGAAATTCATGATAATTTATATTTAAGACAATTAATCTTAATCTGAGGCTGATATAGAAAATGTTAAAATGCATAAATTAAAATGAAGAACCTGAAGGACATAAACACCAGAAGTTGATGAGTAAATATTTATTATCTGAACAGTGACCAACATGACATAATATACAGAAGAACGGAAGCAGCAGGGAGATTTTTGCTACTACTCATTTGAAACATTAAGTTTTGAATCATTTTCAATCAATTTTTACATCTATGATCTAAGATGTAATAAATAAAAGTTTAAAACACATGTTTTCATTTGTAGAAAACATTCAATGACCAGAATTGAATGTTCTGACTTTGGACTGATCAAAGGAAAAAAAACAAAGTGAAACAAAAGTCATGTAATAATTAGAAATTGTTCACATACTCAAGCTTTTAAGATTGATTACAAACATTTCTTTAACTCTACGTTAGTTTAGAGATTCACGGCATGAAACATGACAATGATGTGATTTTTGTCTGTTCCAAACTTTTAGAGCCGTAATACAAAAAATGGTTGAAACATATTTTTTGTCAAATGACCTAATAATTTTAATTAGCCATGAAGATCTATTATAAACCAAACTCTGTTTTATTTTGCTAAAACAGCAACAATTTATAAAGACAGCAATAGAACATGAGCAAAATGTGACGCCATGTTTTTAAAACATCGAGTTATAAAATAGTTTCATGTGTTAAATATAAAATTCTACAAGAATTGCTTAAAAACCTTAAATGATCCAACAGTAGTAAACTCCACTCTCTGGTCTGATGAGAAAAATATGATAGTTTTGACATATAAACACTGAATTCAGACTAACTTTAAAATCGATAAAAAGCAGATGGACACCAGAAGTTGATGAGTAAATATTTATTATCTGAACAGTGACCAACATGACAAAGCAAACATGACTCAGTGAAAACAGAGAAGAATCAGCAGAGAAAGAGTGAGAGCAGTGACAGATTAAAGCCAGTATCAGAGTCTCAGAGAGTCAGGTCAGGACTGGGAGCACTGGTCTCTCCTCAGTGTCTCTGTGACTGCAGACTGGGAGCCCTGGGAGGCCTCACAGGTCACAGAGCCAAGAATATAGTTATTTTTTTCTCCTCTCTTAATTTTACTTTATATTATTTTATTTTATAATACGTTTTTTAAAATGCAGATTGTCCTTTTCAGATCCAATATCTCATTTATTAAATTGACCGAGTTTGAAATGAAAAGTACAATTTACAAACACAGCAACAATACAAGTTAATAAAATATTTATCTCAATTAAATCTGTTAGTAAATAAAACATGTCTGAATTTAAACAATGTACTTGGGAGACCAGGATTAACACAAATGTTAGCAGAGACTCACGTGTGAAGAAAAAGCTTAAAATAGACTTTCAACTATGAAGAAAACAATCTGACGGATCCCATTCAAATCTTAAATAAAGTGATTTGCATCAGCAGCTCCATGCTCCAGCGCTCTGGGAGAGTTTATAGTCCTGACAGTTGAACACTGGATGACTGACAGCTGTCCTTCATCACAGCAGAAGACACAGAAATCCTCCTCATCATCAGAAACATGACTCTGATCTGCGTCCTCATCTGGACTCTCCTCTGCTGCTGCTTCACAGGTAAAGTCCAGAGAATCCAACTCCTCTCCTCTATGAACATCTGTCCCTCTGAAATGAAGCCGACTAAACCATGAAAATGTTTTTGTCTCTGTGTCCTCAGAGGTCAGAGGTCAGGTCACTGTGACTCAGCAGCCTGCAGCAGTGAGAGCTGATCTGGGAGGATCTGTCACCATCAGCTGTAGAACCAGTCAGAATATTTATAGCATCTATTTAGCCTGGTACCAACAGAAAGATGGACAAACTCCTAAGCTCCTCATTGATCGTACCGGCACTCGAGCATCAGGAACTCCAAGTCGTTTTACAGGCAGTGGATCAAACTCTGACTTCACTCTGACCATCAGTGGAGTTCAGGCTGAAGATGCTGCAGTTTATTACTGTCAGAGTTATCATAGTGGCTCCGTGTTCACACAGTGAAAAATCATCGTACAAAAACCTCCCTCAGTCTGAACAGAAACTGAACTTTGTTATGCAGCTGGAATCTGCAGCAAACACTGATAACGTTCACTGAACACACATTTTACACTCTCACCATTTAGTTGCATCAAACCTTATTAAAACTCAAATCTGAAAACAACATAAGATATATTCTAAATGTTCAAGGAAGTTGATGAAGGTCAAACATTTTTCAAGGTTGAAATACATTTTCCAGTCCATCCATAAAGGAACAATCCATCAAATAAAATAAAACAATCAGCATAAACAGTAAAATGTATTCAAACCCTCAGTTCAACCTATTTAATTCTAATAAACATTTGAATAAAGAAAGAGATATATTTTTAAAGTAAATAATCTGTCACAAATTAAGAGATATTTCTGTCTTCCACCTCTAGTCTGGGAGTTTCTTCAATGTTGTTGAATGAAAGAACATTTAATATCCTTATGAGGACATCAGCAGAATCGTAACTCTAACGCAGCAGAAAAGTTTTTTTTATTTTATAAACCTTGAAGAAACTCTGAAAAATTACAATAAAAATGTAATGTTCTTATTCAAAAAATTTGACTTGAAGTTAAATAAAATGACTGCTAATAACATTAAAACATATTTTAGTGATTGTTAAATAACAAGATTTACTTATTTTACCACAAATTCTTAAGGATCTTTAGTTCCAAAAAAAATAAAAAAACTTCCAGGAGATTTCTTCAATGTTGTGTTAACTCTGGTAAAAATAAATGACTAAGTTTGCCAGTGCTAAAGGAAAATAATTCAAGGAGCAAACATCATTAATAATGCTTGGTCCTTGATTTGCCAACAGAATATTAGTATACTACTGCCAGATGACTACAACCAACACCTTTTGAATGCTGGGTTTAAAGGTGCTTCCAGATATTTTCCACAGACAGAAATGCAAAACTGTGGTGTCAAGTCTCTTTTTGTAAATTAGCAAATAGACATAAAAAGGTGTCTGGTATGAATGAAAGAAAGACATGAAAACATCTTCTCCAAATTATCAGCTGACAACAACAACCAGACATTAGTGAGGTTTCTCAGCACGAAAAAACTTTTTCTGACAGCAAAAATTTGGTTTCTTTGTGAACTGAAGCGTTTTAAAAAGACCTGAGCTCATTTTAGACTGTAAAACATTTGAAGGTGGTTTAATTTGGAAATGAAAGTCCACCTGCTGCCTTGAAGATGGAATTTAAATCAACAAGAAAATTGTTTTGGTTTTAACTCAGAAATTAAATTTGATGAAGTTGATTTAACAATGAGAGATAAGTTGTCTAAACGTTGTTTTAAATGAATTAATCTTGAATTGTGAGGTTTAACTTAATGAGGCAATTTAAACAAAATAACTTTTTCACAATA